AAATAGAGGATCTTGAAATAAAACAAGAACCAAAGAAATACATGCAAATATAAGAAAACTTACAAACAAGGAAAAACATTTAACAGGAAATGGTTGTGTTAGGGGGAAGGATGGAAAAATTATTGTTAATAAGAAAGATATAATAAAAAGATGGACTGAATACACAGAAGGCCTGTTTAGGGACAGCAGAGGTGACAAACCGCCAATCCACAATATTCAAGAGGGACCAAACATATTAAAGTCTGAAGTAGAGAAGGCCATTAAACAGATGAAGCAGGGAAAAGCTGCAGGTCCAGACAACATAACTGCAGATATGTTAAAATCATTATCTACTTTTGGAATTGATACTATCACAGAAATATGCAATGACATTTATAACTATGGGTACATTCCCATGGACATGAAAACATCTGTTTTTATCACACTACCCAAGAAATCAAAAGCTGTTGAATGTGATGATTACAGAACTATTAGCCTAATGAGTCACGTAACTAAGTCACTCTTGAAGATAATACAAGCAAGAATTCAAGATAAAATAGAGAAAAAAAGTTTCTGAAGAGCAATTTGAATTCCGTAAAAACAGTGGTACTTGAGAGGCCATAATTTGTCTAAAGATGCTGAATGAAAAAAATATATAGAAGTTCAGAAAAATATTTATGCATGTTGTCTAGATTACAAAAAAGCTTTCGACAGAGTGCAACATGAACAACTAATTGCAGCTCTTCAAAACATAGGACTAGATGGAAAGGATATCAGACTTATTAGAAACTTATACTGGGAGCAAGAAGCAACAGTAAGATATGACAACATCTGCTCACCCCAAATAGAGATCAAGAGAGGAGTAAGACAAGGATGTGTGCTGTCGCCTAGCCTTTTCAACTTATGTACAGAAACCATTTTTAAAGAAATTGTAGAATTACCAGGACTGAACATCAATGGTAGAATAATAAACAATCTGAGATATGCTGACGACACAGTGTTGCTAACATAGAGTGAGCAGGAGTTGCAAGACCTAGTGGAGCAAGTAAACAGAAGAGGTGCAGAATTTGGATTAGATATAAATTTGAAAAAGACAAAAACCATGATATTTAGGAAAGACAATAATCAGCTAACAATGAATATCACAGTGAACGGGGTGAAATCGGAACAAGTTAAAAATTTCTTATATCTTGGACAAGTAATAACATGTGTCGGCAGAAGTGAAACAGAAGTCAAGAAAAGAATAGGGATGGCCAAAAACATTTTCAACAACATGCAAAAGTTACTGACATCAAGAGAAATAAGCAATGCATTAAAAATGAGAATTGTCAAATGTTATGTATTCTCAACATTACTGTATGGCACAGAGACATAGACAATGAACAAGCAACTGGAAAATAGTATCAATTCTTTGGAGATGTGGATATACAGAAGATTAGGTCGTATTTCATAGAAACAAAAGCTATCAAATACAGAGGTACTGAGGACATTGGGAATGAAAAGAGAGTTGCTAGGTGAAATAAAAAAGAGACAAGTGAAATATTTTGGCCACATTAAAAGACATAACAGTATTGTAAAGATCATCCTAGAGGGAAAGGTTCAAGGTAGGCGAGCAAAAAGCAGACAGCGTTACAAGTGGGAGGATAACATCAAGAGATGGGCGAACAGCTGTATGAGTGAGTGTACATCAAGGGCAAGAGACAGGGCTTGTTGGAGATCCATTGCAGCCAACCTTCATTGTGGAGACGGCACCTGATTGATTGATTGATATATGCAGAAAGACAGACGTAATTACGCCTTCATACATATATATTTATGTACACACAAACACATGCATGCAGTTTCCTATTACGTATGTTTATCTATCAATAGCCTTTTCGACAACACGTGGAAAATGAAGATAGAATCTGTCCTTCCAACCAATATCTTCTCTAATGGTAGGAAGTATCTTACAAGCCATTTGCTTCCCGATGTGTCACTGGACGCCACACACAGAGAACTTCATCTGGATGTAAATATGTCGGCTCTCAAGTATGTAAGTCAGTTCTCTTCTTCTGTTATCAAAAACACACACACACACAAACACACACACACAAACACACACACACACGCAAACACAGACAGATAGATAGATAGAGAGAGAGATAGATAGATAGATAGAGAGAGAGAGAGAGAGAGAGAGAGAGAGTGAGAAAGGGGGGGGGGGGGCAGAAGGGAAAGCCAGTATACTGGTGGGCTAGTTTTGTTGCATCTCTGCTACCAATGTCCGATGTAAATGTATCGGTCCTCAGAAATATAAGTCAGTTCTCTTTCCTATGATCTCTCTCTCTCTCTCTCTCTCTCTCTCTCTCTCTCTCTCTCTCTCTCTCTCTCTCTCTCTCTCTCTTTCTTTCTCTACCTCTCCCTCTACCTCCAATTTAACTTCCCCACTTTTACCTTCTTCTTCCCCAGCGACGTTTTGGTGTCTAATGTTAGGGCATTTTCGAAAACTACAATAAATAAGGGGGAGTCGCCTTGGTGGAGCGGCTAGGCGCTCGTCGCGAATCGGAAGGTGATGGGTTCGCTCCCTGGTGGAGCCGGACTTTAAAACAAATTATCTTGGCTCCCAGGTTGACCCAGCCTTGAGTGGGTACCAGGTGCAGTCCCGGGAAGTAAAGGCGGGCGGCGTGATGATGACCACATCACCCATATTGTGCCTATTGGTCTATAAAATATAGGTCAAGCCCTATATGCCCTATACGCCTAAAGGCTGGGAAAAGGGTCCTGTACTTGGTTTACTTACAATGAATAAATAAAAAATACAATACAAATAAACTTAACCGACAAATAGATGCTCAGTCCGTTACAATTACAAATGCCAGAATGAATGTTTATGTCGCCCCCATGTGGGATGCAATTTTTCGTTATTCGAAGCCCCCCCCTCCCCCCTACCCCCCCCCACCCCAAGCTTTTGCCGGGGGCCCTGAATATAGCCTGACCATAAATATGGCTTAACGCCTGAAAGGGGTTTCTGGGACCCCTCCACGGGTGACCTCAACCGCATGGAGGCACTTTGTGTCACCGGGTGTTTATCGCTTGTGTAATGTCCTGGTGGGGTACAACAAGAGAGAGAGAGAGAGAGAGAGAGAGAGAGAGAGAGAGAGAGAGAGAGAGAGAGAGAGAGAGAGAAAGAGATAGAGAGAGAGGGATAGAGAGAGAATTAACGTTGCCATTATAAAGTCTTAATGAGCATAAACCATAAACGGACAATGATACAATTACATAAAAGAAGACTAACTCAGCTTTCTCCCCCTTGAATGATAAGAATGATAACATTTGCCTGAATATGTTTTTCTGAAGAAAGTCAGGCAGAGAAACGAGTGCCAAGATGTGATAGCAAACCCAAGATCTTATTGGAGAAGTCAGAGCATCAGTGGCTCATCGAATACATCAGAGAGCGACATGACAAGGATGAACTTAGCATTTAGGTAATGTTGACCGAAACTGAATATCCTAAACAATATTTTTTCCAGAAGTGAATATAAACAATACAGACACAAATAATACATTTAATTTTGAAATTTTGAAATAAAATTTGCGTGAGCAATTGAAATTCTTCTTCTTCAGCATTCCGAGTCTTTGAGGTTCATTGTTGCAAATATCAGCCGCCTTCATTTATCTCTCTGGTTGGCCTTCTCTTTCCAGTTGGTAACACCAAGTGTTTGCAAGAGAGTCTAAATATTTTCTCTCCATCGTCTTCTTGGTCTGCCTCGTGGTCTACGAACATTCATATCCATCGTGAATACAGTTGTTACTTCTCTGTCCTCTGACATTCTTTCAATAAGCCCAACCATTTCATTATATTGGCTCACAGGAGGCGAGTCACTGAAATTAAGATGGAAAATATGCGTTGTATAAACAAAATGATCAAATGGTAAATATCAGACATATGCTGTAAGCGCCTAGTTAATTTTGAACTCCCTTTGGTGGAACGTACATTGTAAAAAGATCCAATGTGATTTATATAGTTTATTTGGAACGATTCACATTTTCTGCTTCAGAATATGTTTATGTAACTCTGTCGTGATGAATTTGCCGAGGTACAGAGACAAATGCTAGGCTGTAACATAATCTTTGTGACCGCATTGTTTGAACAGGAATATTGACAGCATACACATCTGAACATGAACTATTTGCTGTCTTTTTACCACTTAAACTGTAAGACGCTCCATTTTTATGTTAACTCATTGAGTCCCAAGAAACGTATCACACGTTCATAGGTTCCTAACTAGAAGCCCAATGAACGCATGTTGCGCTGATTGTATTACTTTCTTTACTACCCCCTGGGCCTGTGATGCTAAACTCTCTGGAACTCAGAGTTAAATACATTTACAGCATGATAAAGTTCTGCATACCCTTCCTTAAAAGGACCACTTTACCATGTTAATTCTCAAGATCTTTATTCCCGGAGCCAAATAAAAGCCGTGAAATAAGCAAGAACTGGTTTTGTCAGCGGCTACAAGCTGGGGGAATATGTAAAGGAGTGGGTCTGGAAATTCATGGGCTAAGTGATTTGAAGTGAAACAACGATGACCTAATGACTAACTACTTAACCAGCTAACTAAATGACTGACTGACAGGAGCCGCCGTGGTGTAGTAGCTAGACACTCGCCTGACAGAGCCGGACTTGAAAAAAAGAAGATCTTGGCTGCCAAGTCGACCCGACCTTAAACGGTTACCAGGTAAAGTCATGGGAAAAAAAGGCGGACGGTGTGATGGTGACCACATCACCCACCGAGTGCTGATTGGTCTAAAAGAATTCAGGTCCAGCCCTATATGTACTGCCCAGTACTGCAGTTAATTTAAGATCAACGTACTCTTCAATGGTACCAGTTTATGGTGGTGTAAGACTGGGGAGAAGAAATAAAAAAAAAAAAAACAACAACGGGGGTGGGGGGTGACTGATTAACTGAACTATTATCTAATTAACTAGCCAACTGATTGATCGTCTCTGTCAAATAATAAACGTTTCACATCTACAGCTGTGGTATGTTGCTCCAGGATTTCTTTTCCAAGCGCCCCATCCCGTCGCTGTACCCGTTTGAAAAGTTCTACCTCTCCGAGCCTCCATTAGTCAACATTGGCAGTGTTTCAAACGAGAACCTGTCAGTGATCACATCCTACAATTCAAGGTAACTAGCCAAACTGCCAACTGCAAGTTACTGTCTTTATTATACCACTTTTGTAGTACAGGCAGAAAGGGGAAAAAAAAGGGGAAAAAGAAGGGGGGGGGGGGGTCTTTGAGCCTGAGGATTTAGGGCTAGTGCTGTCGCCCCGACTATGCAGGTGAGGATTTTATTTTGCCCCGAGACACTAGTGGGATATTTCACTAAGCCAAAAAGATTTTCTTAGAAACAACCTATCGCAGTTCGCTTCAGGGTAATACACTTTGTAACATTTTTTTAGCATGGCTATTTTCGAATCAAATTAACTTAGTCACAGCTGCATTAAATTCAACAAAACACAATCGTAATGAGCACGTGTAAACAATATATAATACTTGTAAACAATATACATTTCTATTAAATAATGTATAGTCCTTGTAAACAATATATAGTCTTAGTAAACAATTTATAGTACTAGTAAACAATATGTAGTACTAGTAAACAATATATAGTACTAGTAAACGATATATAGTACTAGTAAACTATATGTAGTACTAGTAAACGATACATAGTACTAGTAAACAATACATAGTACTAGTAAACAATATATAGTACTAGTAAACAATATATAGTACTAGTAAACATTATATAGTACTAGTAAACAATATATAGTACTAGTAAACAATACATAGTACTAGTAAACAATATATAGTACTAGTAAACAATATATAGTACTAGTAAACAATATATAGTACTAGTAAACGATATATAGTACTAGTAAACAATATGTAGTACTAGTAAACGATACATAGTACTAGTAAACAATATATAGCACTAGTAAACAATATACAGTACTAGTAAAAGATAAATAGTACTAGTAAACGATACATAGTACTAGTAAACGATATATAGCACTAGTAAACAATATATAGTACTAGTAAACAATATATAGTACTAGTAAACAATATATAGTACTAGTAAACAATATATAGTACTAGTAAACAATATATAGTACTAGTAAACAGTATATAGTACAAGTAAACAGTATATAGTATTAGTAAACAATATATAGTACTAGTAAACAATATGCAGTACTAGTAAACAATATATAGTACTAGTAAACAATATGTAGTAATAGTAAACGATACATAGTACTAGTAAACAATACATAGTACTAGTAAACAATATATAGTACTAGTAAACAATATACATTACTAGTAAACAATACATAGTACTAGTAAACAATACATAGTACTAGTAAACAATACATAGTACTAGTGAACAGTATATAGTACTAGTAAACAATACATAGTACTAGTAAACATTATATAGTACTAGTAAACAGTATATAGTACTAGTAAACAGTATATAGTACTAGTAAACAGTATATAGTACTAGTAAACAGTATATAGTACTAGTAAACATTATATAGTACTAGTAAACATTATATAGTACTAGTAAACAGTATATAGTACTAGAAAACAGTATATAGTACTAGTAAACAGTATATAGTACTAGAAAACAGTATATAGTACTAGTAAACAGTATATAGTACTAGTAAACAGTATATAGTACTAGAAAACAGTATATAGTACTAGTAAACAGTATATAGTACTAGTAAACAGTATATAGTACTAGTAAACGGTATATAGTACTAGTAAACAGTATATAGTACTAGTAAACGGTATATAGTACTAGTAAACGATATATAGTACTAGTAAACAATATATAGTACTAGTAAACAATATATAATACTAGTAAACAATATATAGTACTAGTAAACAGTATATAGTACTAGTAAACAGTATATAGTACTAGTAAACAATATATAGTAATAGTAAACAATGTATAGTACTAGCAAACAATATATAGTACTAGCAAACAATATATAGTACTAGTAAACAATATATAGTACTAGTAAACAATATATATTACTAGTAAACAATATATAGTACTAGTAACACAAATATAGTACTAGTAAACAAAATATAGTACTAGTATAGTAGTAGTAAACAATATATAGTAGTAGTAAACATATATAGTACTAGTAAACAATATATAGTACTAGTAAACAATATATAGTACTAGTAAACAATATATAGTACTAGTAAACAATATATAGTACTAGTAAACAATATATAGTACTAGTAAACAGTATATAGTACTAGTAAACAGTATATAGTATTAGTAAACAATATATAGTACTAGTAAACAATATGCAGTACTAGTAAACAATATATAGTACTAGGAAACAATATGTAGTACTAGTAAACATTATATAGTACTAGTAAACAGTATATAGTACTAGTAAACAATATATAATACTAGTAAACAATATATAGTACTAGTAAACAGTATATAGTACTAGTAAACAGTATATAGTACTAGTAAACAGTATATAGTACTAGTAAACAATATATAGTACTAGTAAACAATATATAGTACTAGTAAACAATATATAGTACTAGTAAACAGTATATAGTACTAGTAAACAGTATATAGTACTAGTAAACAGTATATAGTACTAGTAAACAGTATATAGTACTAGTAAACAGTATATAGTACCAGTAAACGATATATAGTACTAGTAAACAATATATAGTATAAGTAAACAATATATAGTACTAGTAAACAGTATATAGTACTAGTAAACAGTATATAGTACTAGTAAACAGTATATAGTACTAATAAACAGTATATAGTACTAGTAAATAATATATAGTACTAGTAAACAATATATAATACTAGTAAACATTATATAGTACTAGTAAACAGTATATAGTACTAGTAAACAATATTTAGTACTTGTAAACAGTATATAGTACTAGTAAACAGTATATAGTACTAGCAAACAATATATAGTACTAGTAAACATTATATAGTACTAGTAAACAATATATAGTACTAGTAAACATTATATAGTACTAGTAAACAGTATATAGTACTAGTAAACAGTATATAGTACTAGTAAACAATATATAGTAATAGTAAACAATGTATAGTACTAGCAAACAATATATAGTACTAGCAAACAATATATAGTACTAGTAAACAATATATAGTACTAGTAAACAATATATATTACTAGTAAACAATATATAGTACTAGTAAACAAAATATAGTACTAGTAAACAATATATAGTAGTAGTAAACAATATATAGTAGTAGTAAACATTATATAGTACTAGTAAACAATATATAGTACTAGTAAACAATATATAGTACTAGTAAACAATATATAGTACTAGTAAACAATATATAGTACTAGTAAACAATATATAGTACTAGTAAACAGTATATAGTACTAGTAAACAGTATATAGTATTAGTAAACAATATATAGTACTAGTAAACAATATGCAGTACTAGTAAACAATATATAGTACTAGGAAACAATATGTAGTACTAGTAAAGGATACATAGTACTAGTAAACAATACATAGTACTAGTAAACAATACATAGTACTAGTAAACAATATACATTACTAGTAAACAATACATAGTACTAGTAAACAATACATAGTACTAGTAAACAGTACATAGTACTAGTAAACAATACATAGTACTAGTAAACAGTATATAGTACTAGTAAACAGTATATAGTACTAGTAAACAGTATATAGTACTAGTAAACAGTATATAGTACTAGTAAACAGTATATAGTACTAGTAAACAGTATATAGTACTAGTAAACAGTATATAGTACTAGTAAACAGTATATAGTACTAGTAAACAGTATATAGTACTAGTAAACAATATATAATACTAGTAAACAATATATAGTACTAGTAAACAATATATAGTACTAGTAAACATTATATAGTACTAGTAAACAGTATATAGTACTAGTAAACAATATTTAGTACTAGTAAACAGAATATAGTACTAGTAAACAGTATATAGTACTAGTAAACAGTATATAGTACTAGTAAACAGTATATAGTACTAGTAAACATTATATAGTACTAGTAAACAGTATATAGTACTAGTAAACAATATATAGTACTAGTAAACAATATATAGTAGTAGTAAACATTATATAGTACTAGTAAACAGTATATAGTACTAGTAAACAATATATAGTAGTAGTAAACATTATATAGTACTAGTAAACAATATATAGTACTAGTAAACAATATATAGTACTAGTAAACATTATATAGTACTAGTAAACAATATATAGTACTAGTAAACAATATATAGTACTAGTAAACATTATATAGTACTAGTAAACAGTATATAGTTCTAGTAAACCATATATAGTACTAGTAAACAATATATAGTACTAGTAAACATTATATAGTACTAGTAAACAGTATATAGTACTAGTAAACATTATATAGTACTAGTAAACAGTATATAGTACTAGTAAACAATATGTAGTACTAGTAAACAATATATAGTACTAGTAAACAGTATATATTACTAGTAAACAATATATAGTACTAGTAAACAATAAATAGTGCTAGTAAACAGTATATAGTACTAGTAAACAGTATATAGTACTAGTAAACAGTATATAGTACTAGTAAACAGTATATAGTACTAGTAAACAATATATAGTACTAGTAAACAGTATATAGTACTAGTAAACAATATATAGTACTAGTAAACAATATATAGTACTAGTAAACAATATATAGTACTAGTAAACATTATATAGTACTAGTAAACAGTATATAGTACTAGTAAACAATATATAGTACTAGTAAACAGTATATAGTACTAGTAAACAATATATAGTACTAGTAAACAGTATATAGTACTAGTAAACAGTATATAGTACTAGTAAACTGTATATAGTACTAGTAAACAGTATATAGTACTAGTAAACAGTATATAGTACTAGTAAACAGTATATAGTACTAGTAAACAATATATAGTACTAGTAAACATTATATAGTACTAGTAAACATTATATAGTACTAGTAAACAGTATATAGTATTAGTAAACAATATATAGTACTAGTAAACAATATATAGTACTAGTAATCATTATATAGTACTAGTAAACAGTATATAGTACTA